GCCAAATGCAATTTATGTTTACAACTCGTTTTCACATTCCTGTTCCTCATTATCTAAGAATTAATTCTCTGGTAAATAATTAGCTCCAAGTGTGTGCCCTCGACTGAAGGTGTGTCAAACAGGTGAGGCAAAGCAGCATAGGGTGTGTGCATCTTTGTATGTCCATTTTATCATATCTCATGAGGTTTGTATCCCCACGACAATGCCCTATTTTCCATGCGTTCCTTTGTCCTATTAGATTCTTTAATATGCCTTGTGATGCTTTCTAACACATTTAGGACTAATGACTATCATAAGGCTCATGTCATAATATTAATTTGTTCCACTTTTCCATGGTACTTGCATAATACACATTAGAAGTTTTCATTGGTGCATATTGTAGGATGTGACATATGAATTCGATGTCCTCTCTGAGTCTCCCTCTCTCTGCTGGACTGGTTTCATAGTGAGCTCTATGAATAGAACAATACTCTCCTTCAGCCTCCTAATGTTAAAGAGGCCGTTGTCGAGACACTGACTTCATTTTACACTCATGATCTGAGAATGGCACTGTTGGACAAACACGCACACACACATACCAAATATACACATCCATACAGTATAACACAGAGAGACACGCATGCTTTCATCTAGTTTTATATTCTGAGCATGTAGTTCAATCTGTGACTAATATACACCCACACGCAGCTAAACACAGACATGCACATATTTTGTGTGTTGTGCATGTCAAGTAGCAGAGAGAATAAAGTGTAGCAGAGCAGAGTCCTATGACCTGGTCAGAACCAGAGTTCACTACTTCCTGTCCAACAAGGACAACAGCATGACGAGAGCTCCTCTCTTCCATGTTGTCTCCATCTATTCTTGTCTGCTGTCAAATACAATGACTACTTATACTCTGAAGCTCGCTGGCAGAGATTCTGACAAACATTTTCGCAAATATATTTTTCAATATTTGCTTCATTTTGACTGCAGGCCACCATAGTTTTTGTTTGTTACAGCCCAGTAGTTACAAATCTACAATACAGCTACATTCACTGTCACAATTCTCCAAATCAAACTGTACATTTTTTTTAAATTGACGTGGTGCCTTCTAGGTAGCCATTAGCTTCTGTTTTTTTCTGTTTTGGTCAAAGTGACTTTTGTTAGACGCAATGACTCTTCAGAAAAGCTCTTCCTTGTTGGTGCATCAAAAGAAGAAGCAACATCCAAGATTGAAGACTTCTGAGAGGCTGCGGCTGCCACAGCATCCTTTTAAATGCATGAAGTTATTAAATTGACATTAACCTTTGAGATCGATTTTTATTTATTGATTATTCTAAGATTGAGTTCCTTGGAAATGCATTGCTTACTTGACATCTGTGTTTTAACTATCTCAAGCAAGTTTAATGTCTCTGCTATTCCACTGAACAGAAACTCTCTCTTCCTACATCCTTCGTACTGTGATTGTTAAACCTCTCTCCCCCTCCACCCCCAGTCGGCCAGTATTCGAGAGGAGCGCGGTGATGAGGTGGAGGTTGAGCTGACAGATAGCCAGCGGAAGATCACACTGTCCAGGGAGGAGGTGCAACGGATGAACCCCCCACGCTTTAGTAAAGTGGAGGACATGGCCGACCTCACCTGCCTCAACGAAGCCTCGGTGCTGCACAACCTGAGGGAGAGATACTACTCTGGCTTGATCTATGTGAGTGGGCAAAACAGTGAATGCACGAGAAGATGAAACGCGTTCACTCCATATAACTAATGAAGAATCTGTTAGACACGGTTCTTACGTCAATACACATGTTTACATGCATGAACAAAGAGTGTGTGGGCACGTTCAGCCTGTGATGTTGTGTACATGCATGTGTTAGCGGTTAGGTCCTCTGGCATCTCCTGTGTAACTAATACGGGGTGGTAAGAGAGGTGAGGAGTCAGTTTACAAAGATGTGTGTGTGTGTGTGGTGGCAGTGGGAGGATATCCAGTTACTCCTGCAGAAAAGATATGAGTAGGATAGGATAGATAGGAGTAGAAGTCATAGTGAGCCAATGATAATTGACATACCCAGGAAGCATATTGTGTGCAATTAAAGTAGAATAATATATAGGCAAATAAATGGAGTTGAGCTGCCTATTAATGGGATCAGAGAGACCGCTGGGGCTGTTTGAATAGCTTGCCAATAGCGGTTTACTATGATTGACATACATTCATCTTTCACTACAGTTGGAATGTATTATAGGAACTAATGTCTGGGTGTGGATTGACACTGTGTTACATATAATCACTGGCTGCATTTACATGTCCCCAAATGTTCCTTTATTCATGAACTGTTATATTAAGAGTTATACTTTTTATTATATCCTTTTTTATATGAACCATCAGTCTGGAAATGGATGACTGATTGTTTGCTTGACTGAAATCAGTTGGATTGATCAGTTGATTATATTGAATCACGTAAATAACGGCACTTTTGGTTTACTGCCGTACTTTCAGCTCAAGCAATAGCAACAGTTGAATTTGCTACTCCTGCCAGAGATGTCAAGCCACCCACAATTATTGACAGTCTCCTTGAAGCACAAACCGCTGAACTTGTGACAAAAATAGAAAGTTATCAAACAGATCTCAAAACAAAATGGATGTGATTTTATTCTAACTGTTCTCAACTGACTGCTCTATGATGTTGATGTAAATCTCTCTGTTCCCTGTGGTTTTCCAGACATACTCAGGGCTGTTCTGTGTGGTGGTGAACCCTTACAAGAACCTGCCCATCTACACGAGTCCATCGATGGAGATGTACCAGGGGGCATAAATACGCATTGGAAATGTCCCGCCTCACATCTACGCCATATCAGAGGCCGCCTATCGCAGCATGCTACAAGGTACTCTGCACTATCTGTGACCTCTGACTCCTGACTAACTCTGACATACATCCCCATACATCTGCTATCAACTCAGCCGGCCTGGAACGCGGTACTGAATCTTGTCTGTGATCTTTGCTCGCTAAGCAACTCTGTGAATGCTATTTGAAGGAGTGGTATATTCTTGATTGTTATCAGAGGCCTTAAAAGTGAAAACAAATAGGCAAGATGGTATTTTTTCTTTTTTCGCAACAGAGATTTACAGGTGTGCCACTCCTGTGGCAATCCAGTGCTGTTATATTTGTTGTGGTAATGATAGTAACCGCATATTATACCCGTAACAACAATGCATGACAGACATTTCTTAAGCCCTTCCCGTCATGTTGAGCTCATGAGACGAGACAGAGAGAATTCCCAGCAACCTTTTAAAAACAGTTAACGGCCGATTGAGCAATGTCTCTGCCTCAGGGTGTCTTCAAGAGATAACAGGACAGGACAAATGAGGCTCTGTCTATGTATTTGCCACCACCCCCCCACCTCCCTTAGGGCAGGTTGTAGGTGTGTTACCACAGTGATTGAACCTGTAGGACCAGTATGAATTCTTCTAGACTGAATGTGTGGGAATCTTAAAAGCTAAGTTATGTTGCAAACAATGTCCACACATTGACTACCAGTGTCGTGTGGTTTGGCAGCCTGGAGAGACCAGTTCGGCCGGTGACCTGCTTCTCTCTCCGGTGCTAATTGGTGAAGGAGTGACTGACATATCAAGAGTCAGAGTGCAGTCAGAGGGCTAGAGTTCATCTGTACACATCTGATATGTATTATCAAAACTTGAGGTGTGAGTCCTTGCGGAGGCTTCCAGATCCCTTCATGCCTGGTTAGTTGGGGGTGGAGGCTTGGTGTAACATGAGCCAACCAATGGCATAGATAACCTCCAGACTCCCATACAGGACCTTACAGAGTATTATTTCAAGGAATCATATGTCAACATGCGTAGACCTTCAAACACAGTTGTCATTCTGGTAGCTGTTTGATGTTGACTGTATTGTCAGCCAAATGTTTAACACTGTGCCAACAATGTGGAAAACAACCGCTTTAACATCCCGGAAATAAAGATTGGCAAAGTATCTTACTATCACTTTTCACTATCACTTTTCACTATTATTTTGTAATCAAGAATGCTTTGATCTAATTCACTTCATACATTGTGTGAGTGATGTACATCAGGTCATGTCACTAATTTGTCCTCACATTGTTTGTCCTTCTGCAGACAGAGAAGATCAGGCAATCCTCTGCACGTGAGTATGCTACTGTATGACACCAGTGTGTCTGTGAATGCGTTTTAATCTTCTGTTTGAAAATTGTCACTGAGAATGTCTGCCTCTGTTTGCGGGTCTGTGCATGTATGTACCTGATGTGCTTTCATCATCTACTCTCATTCATTTATATTCAGTTAATAATACACCTAGAGTGCTGCTTTCTGGCACTTTTTGGCCTTCTTAACTATATTTCATTGATTTCCATGATTAATTGTCTTGCATGTGTATCATTTGTTGCTGATATTCATAGTTCATGTGGGATATGGATTTTCTTTTTATGAACATACACACATGCAGATCCACAAATGGACATTCACACTGATGTTTGCTTTGAATTTAAATAATAGAATCAGATCTTAGTAAAGAATCAGGCCTGTAACGTGAATGCATCTTCCTGTCTGTATCCATGTTTTTTGTCGACCTACCTCCTTGCCTGAGGGCCATCTCCCTTTCATCATGTCTTCCTGCCAGACTCTTCCTGTCATTGTCAAGGATTCCACTTTGGGTTCATCTTGAATCAGTGTATTTGGGACAAGATGTCTGCTTCTTTTAGATCTTTTACAGCTGCTATTTTTACTCCATTCTCCTTCGTTCTTCTCCAAAAGCAACAATACTGACGCAGCCTGTATCCTCCACACCTGCTTTCTGTTTAGACCTGTGGCTTTGAATGCACTGCATGGGCTCTATATTTACTGGTGTGATGAATGTGCGTTTGGCCACTTGTTCCTGTGTGTTCTCTCTCTTTAAAATGCTTATATATACCATTCATAATTGAGACCATATGTGTTTAAGATGGACTGGGTTTTTGTAAAGAGAATGGTATTTATTGTGTATATGTGTGTTCCTTACTCAATATGTGTGTGTCTGTGTGTATTCCAGTGGTGAGTCTGGAGCTGGGAAAACAGAGAACACCAAGAAAGTCATCCAATATTTGGCTCACGTTGCGTCCTCCCATAAGGGTGGCACTCTGGGTAGGAACAAGGAAGCTGCACAGGTAAGTCGCAGAAACATTAACATTGAAAGGGTAGGGGTATAACAGGAGAGATAGAGAAGGTGAAAAAGTGATGCAGAAACATAAAAGATAAGGAAAAGAAATATGAAGTAAGGGCTAATCAGAACTGTGTTCACATTACAGTAATGTACAGCAGGAAGGGAATTTATTCACTTCATGAAAAAGAACAAATTATCTTAATCACCACTTCATGTAACACTGCTTCAAAAATGCTTCATTATATTCCTCTTGGGTAGTGCGGCTCATCTTTTTTTTTCATGTTTCCCTGACACTTTAAGTCACTAAAGTCTTTTCTACCAATATCCCTGGTATCTGGGCGCTGGGTTTCTTCCCTAACTCAATAATTTACTGAATCTCAATCATATACTATCCTCTTTGTTTATTTGCTGATTTTAATTATTATAAAATGGGTTTCACCTTGGAGTGGCTTTTCTCTTTAAATCAGTCCTCTTTTTCTACATATTCTCTTTGCTTACCTTCCTTCCTGCACTTGTTTCCCCTTATTCTCTTGTTTCTGCATTGTCCCACTCTCTTTCCTGCATGTTCAGATGGATGGCTCAAGGTCCTTAACAAGAGGCAGTACTTTGGGGAACAGGGTGAGTTAACTCTATCCTGCTCTCCTGTCCTGTTCTATTTCCTGCTTAATGAACTCCACAATGATACTGACTAACTAACAGAGTAACCTTAAACCTTTAACTCTCAGTACTGATGTGGTTCCTCATAACAGTCAAGCCTTGTACAGTATATTTGATTTTGCTTGTTTGTATTCCTTTGTTTGTTGTTGTTATTATTGTCTTATTTGTCTTTTTTTGTTTGTTTGTTTATCCCATCCATATGTTCACCCATCCACCCATTCTCCTCCCCCCTAAAACGTCATTTTTTTCCTACAATTCCTCAGAGTATGCAATATGTGAGTATAAAAGTATTCAGACAACTTGGGTTTTATTCATTGGGTGTCACATTTTGTATAATTGAAACTTTCCATGTAGAATATTTACAAGAGCTAACATGATTCTCTTGATAAATAACAAGAATCATGTCTTCTGTGCATAGAACTTTTCTTTTTGACTTTTATCTGAATAAATCCTGTCCTTTCTGGGTCTCTAGTTTTGCCACATTTGATTTTGTTCTTCTTAGTGGGCCGAGGGTATGATTCCCAAATCTCAGTGATTTGTAAATTCCACATGTTTTTACTTACCTGTAGAACTGTGAGGCATTCCTGTTGTAGTATTGGTTGTAATCACATGAACAATACAGTATATGTGCCCGTTGAATGAGTGCAGATTTGCCTGTGGGAGTGGCTGTGGCTGTGTCGTTGCAGCTGTCCACGTGTGTGTGTGAACAAGTGTTTACCCTTGAATATGTGGTTTTGCTAATGTGTGCAATGTCCACATTATTTGCTGGGTGTTTTGTCACTATAAAATGTTGACCTTCTGCTCTGTGTGTGTGTTTGTGAATCTGCCTTTGGTGTTGGCTGGCTGGCATTTCTTGACAGTTCCTACAGTATAACCGTCTCTCGTAGCTACAGTAACTCCCCATCACCGGCTGCTGCTGCTGATGCTGCATCAAAAGCTGCTGCACCAGCAATGTGATAACTGCAGTAATGCATTTCAGCTAGCTAGAATCAGCCAACATGTAGCTTGTGTATGATGTTAGCATCTAAAGCTGCAGCTTCCCCTCTGCCCTCGTTGTTCTACAACTGTGGTTCTCAACTGACTCTGGTTTCTAGAAATTGCCTTTTAATAATGTAGGAGATTCAATTTTAATACCTTTTAAATATGAAACATGATTGATGCCCTTATTATTGATTGTTTAACTAATGAGGGCCCATTACTCTTACTGACGTTGAGAATCATTTGTTCTGGGGTCTGGGAATGGTGTGTGTTGTGGGTGCTATTTTGGGCCCTAAAATGCACCATTTTATGTCACTGCTCTTCATGGATGAGTCATGCCTTTTTTGTTTTACATAACAGACCAGTAGTTACTCCAAAGAGACTAGACTAAATGGTGCATTTTAGTAGTCAGGTCCTATGGAAGTCTTTTGTTGAGGCTGTTGTCTTTAGTGATGAAGCTGATCTGACGTCTCCTGTGTGTCTCAGGGCGAGCTGGAGAGACAGCTGCTGCAGGCCAACCCCATACTGGAGGCCTTTGGCAACGCAAAGACTGTCAAGAACGACAACTCCTCTAGATTTGTAAGAGCAACTAGATACATTATTCTAACAGATTATGTCTATTTCGTATTAACTTTATCGTCTGTATCATCTGAAAATGTACTAAAACTTTTCTTCTTCTTCAGGGTAAATTCATCCGCATCAATTTTGACGTGGCGGGGTACATTGTTGGTGCCAACATTGAGACCTGTATCCTTTTACTTCTCTTCAAAGTGTTTAATAAAATCAATACACTTTTGCTTTCTAAAAAAGCTAATTTACAGCATAGTTGGACAAAAAGACTTACCTATATGTTAATACATTACACATTCGGATTTCTGAAGGACAAATAACAAGTAGACCAGAACTAAAGTGTAATATAACTACTTTTGGCTGAACATGTCCATGACCATATAAATCCAGACCTCCTTGAAAAGTCCCGGGCCACCCGTCAGGCCAAAGATGAGAGGACGTTCCACATCTTTTATCAGTTGTTGTGTGGAACTTCAGAGGAGACTAAAGGTGAGCCAAATGTCGACCAGACAAGTGTGATAATGAAATACTGCTATACTGCATAACATACTGAAGGTATTTTGGTGAAATCAGTAATAAAATGTTTCTATATCTGGTAGTAATTCAAATTTCTACTTAAATTTAACCACCTTTTCACCTTTTTTATCCTCAGCGGACTTGCTCTTAGGAACTGCTGATGAGTACCGCTTTCTGAGTGGAGGCTCCATCCCTGTTCCTGGTCAGAGCGATTCAGAAAACTTCACCCAGACCATGGACTCTATGGCTATAATGGGCTTCACCCCAGAGGAGTCGATATGTAAGAGAGCGGATGATAGAGAAGAGAGAAAATAGTTGTCTTTCTGCATATTTAATCCTTGCTATAAATCACCTTCCCTCTCCCTGTCTTACTTCTCCTCAGCCATGCTTAAGGTGATCTCTGCTGTGCTCCAGTTTGGGAACATTTCCTTCATGAAGGAGAAGAATCAGGACCAGGCCTCAATGCCTGATAACACAGCTGCTCAGAAACTGTGCCATCTGCTGGGGATCAACGTGCTGGAGTTTACTCGGGCCATCCTCACTCCCAGGATCAAAGTGGGTCGAGAGTATGTGCAGAAGGCCCAGACAAAAGAACAGGTAAGATTTAAAGTGCATAGACTTCTGTACTCATACAGATAAACATTTGTGTATCTAACAGTGCATCCTTCTTCTTCTAGGCTGACTTTGCTGTAGAGGCCTTGGCGAAGGCCACATATGAGCGCCTGTTCAGATGGCTGGTCCACAGGATCAACAGAGCTCTGGACCGCAGACAGAGACAGGGAGCTTCCTTCATAGGCATCCTTGATATTGCTGGATTTGAGATCTTCCAGGTTTGTTCATGTGATGATTGTTTGTTTGTCTGCAGTAGGTAATTTGTTCAAATTTAACAGGTGATGGTGAGCTTGTTGACTTACCCCAACATTTGTTCTGAAATAAGCGAAAAAGTTTTTAAGCGTGCATGAATGTTTACCTTTATTTCTTTCTTTTTGAGCACCAGTTTATTTTTTATTGTACAAATGAGCATAGAAGTATACAAGCGTTCACATATTCTTCCATAAATTACATTACATGAATGATTTCATCTTTGTTTTCTTTTCTGAATCCCTTCTCTGCAGCTGAACTCCTTTGAGCAGCTGTGTATCAACTACACCAACGAGAAGCTGCAGCAGCTCTTCAACCACACCATGTTCATCTTGGAGCAGGAGGAGTACCAGCGGGAAGGCATCGAGTGGAACTTTATTGACTTCGGCCTGGACTTACAGCCCTGCATTGACCTCATCGAGAAACCAGTACGTAAACGCAATATACAGTGTTTTTTTTTAGGAACACACATTCATACTTGTTAAGTGATGAGAGTATAGATGCCAACAGTGGCTCATAGAACCTGTTCAGTTCACCACACTGAACCACACCCATGGGTGAAGGAAAGAAAGAGATTAAAAGTATATAAATAGAAACATGCACACTGGGCTTTGATTCCTTATTCCTCTTGAATGATAAAGTCTACATTTGACTCACAATAAATGTTGTTTTTCCCCTGTTTCTGTCAGACCCACCCGCCTGGTGTTCTGGCCCTGCTGGATGAAGAGTGCTGGTTCCCCCGGGCAACAGACCGCTCATTTGTGGAGAAGGTATCTGCTGAGCAAGGCACCCATCCAAAATTCTTCCGATCAAAGCAGCCACGCGGGGAAGCTGACTTCTCCATCATTCACTATGCTGGCAAGGTATCCCGTTGTTTTTTAACATGTTCCACGTCTGCTTCCCATCTTTCCCATACAAAGAAATCCAGTCAAAAATGTCCCTGCCCTCTGTAATGTCCTGCAGGTGGACTATAAGGCAGATGATTGGCTGGTGAAGAACATGGACCCTCTTAACGACAACGTGGCGTCTCTTGTCCACCAGTCGTCTGATCATTTTGTCTCAGAGCTTTGGAAGGAAGGTGAGATTCACTCTCTGTCATTCACTAACACGAACACTAAACCTTTAACTCATGGACGTCGGTGTAAAAATGAAGGTAATGCACTTTTAACTGAAAAAATCTAATATTTGCAAAATGTACTAACTGTATTTCTCTCTCTTTTCTCTCTCTACCATGCAACAATTCTATCTGTCTGCTATCTCTCACTTTTTGTTCATCTCCGTTCTTCCTTCTTGTTCTCTCCTGTGTTTGCTTGCTTTTGTCACCTTTTCCTTCTGTTTTTTTTCTCTTCCATCTCCACCAACTTGGTGCTCACTTGGGCTCCTGTCTTTCTCCCCGCGCCTTCCTTCTTCCTGCATCAGATATTCAAACTCTTCCTCGTGTGTACTTCTTTGACTCCTATGCCACACTACAGGCTAATGGCTCCGACAGTAGGTTTCTCTCCTCCTCTGTGTGTCACACTCACATTCCTCCCTCCCACCTCCGCTGACATCACTCCTTTGTTTTCTGTCTGCCCAGTTTTTGATTGCTGTGTGCCTTTTTGTGTCATTTTTGGATTCCATTTTAGTTAATAATCGTGCTGTAGTGTCATAAATTGTTACATATTGTTAATTCTTCCATCATTTTGTCACTGTTGACTCAGCCGTCCTCTCTTTGGTCTTTCACCAAGTTTGTGCTTTTAGTGACAGTGTTGTGCTTGTGTGATGTGAACTTTTCCATTCATAAAGAACTAATTCTTTTTTGTAGAGCTCTGACAGTGTCAAGGTAGTAGCATGCTCTCAATTAATCACAAAAACCACATTCAGGATCACATTAGAGATGTGCTTCACAGTATTGCTACAAACAACTGGATCGGTTTCATGAAAACCAACCATGTGCAAGCAGAAATGTGACCCTGAAAGAGCTCTAAAGATGCAGCATATTGGGATAAGGTTCTAACATTTAAATAGCAATCTCAGTATTGTTCTATTATTAATAAAGATATTTTTGGCTGATAGAGGAAATTGGCTAATAAATCAAAATCAAATCAGGAACAGAATAAATTGTCATGGTATCATTTTAGTTCAAGGTTAAGCTAGAAAACCTGCACTGTCAGACTGTCAGTGTATGTGTATCTTGCTGGCCGATATGGCCGAGCAAATAACCATATGATTGCATCTCTAATGAGCTACAAATCCATTGTCCACCATCTGATATCATCTGTCCAGAGACGTGATAGCAGATGTGAAAGCAGATGTGAAATCATAATGCCATAGCATTAGTGTGGCATTCACACACATATAACCATGCCAAATCAAGTCTGGAAAACACTCTCTTAAACTCCACTCACTCCATTAAACTCATACTTGCTACTGAAAGTGAGACCCCGCTCTGTGTTTTTATCCAGTGGACAGGATCGTGGGTCTGGACCAGGTGTCGTCGGGGGAGAACAGCGGGCCGGTCACGTTCGGAGCGGCAGGACTGAAGACGAAGAAGGGAATGTTCAGGACTGTCGGTCAACTTTACAAGGAGTCTCTCACCAAGCTGATGGCCACACTGAGGAACACTAACCCCAACTTCCTTCGCTGCATCATCCCTAACCACGAGAAGAGAGTAAGACAGTGGGACTAGATGAGCGGGGAGAGGGATATAAGCATGTGGACACTTAACTACAATAAAATTCCTTCTATTCTATTTACTCATCTTTCACTTCTTGTCTCTCTCAGGCCGGTAAGCTGTCCCCCAACCTGGTTTTGGACCAATTGAGGTGTAATGGAGTTCTGGAGGGGATCCGTATCTGCAGAAGAGAGGAGAGGAGAGAGAGAGAGAGAGATGA